GCTTGCAGGGGAGGATGGGGCCATTCCCAGAATGTCGGTAAGAGGAGCCCACATTCCTAGCCTCCAAAAGATCATAGCTTTGGCCAGAGTCCCTGAGCCCTCCGTTCTGGGATGTCGCCTTGTTTCCTGCCTGCTAGGCCGACCTCTTGGAATCTTCTCTGGGAGAACCTTCAGATTCCTTTCCCCAGCCTGCGTTCTGCCTCTTTTGGTGTCGCTTCCTGGCTCCCTGTTCTGAGACCGCCAAGGCGAACACCCGTTCTCCAGACTCGCTCAGCGGTCTCCCTGCGGGGTTGGCCGTCAGCACTTTAGAACGAGAAGCAGCGTCAGCCGTACGGTGAACTGCACTCAGTCTGAGAGAGAGCAGGATGAAGAGGAAAAGTTGGGAGTTAAGTCTCCTCCATCAGTTCAGCACCTCTGCACCTTTTACCCAAGAAACCCCAATTTTTCTCTCTCTAAATAACTGTGTGTTTTCATCAAACCCCAGATTATCTAGGATAGCAAGAGGCCAAGCAAGACCATAGTTTCTAGAGGTATTCCACCAGTGAAAATCAGGAAGTGTGATCTAAAAACCTAAGTAAGCCCAGTTTATCAGAAGCCAGGGAATTGAACCCTAAGTCCTGTGTACATTTAAGCTACTGTGCCTTCCAGCCTGTAGGAACACTCTTCTTCGGCTGAGAGACTTGAAGGAAACCACTTCCGTCCCAGCGAGAACACCACCTCCTTTACAAGTCCCAGTCGTCTTCCTTCTTTGAAATAATGCTGTTCGCATTGTGGTAACTGTGTTACCTTCCTGCATCCAGATCTCGTTGCATGAGGTTTACATGCTTTCCTCTAATTGTTGGGGTTGACCTTCCCAGGACACAGCTAAGGCTAGCCTTGAAGGCAGTAATAAAAAATCCCAAGGGTTCCTGGTAGATCCAAAAGTCAGGTAAAGGCTAGGGTGTTAGAAGTCGTGAGGAAAGATGGAGGATGCACCTGGAAGTCCTGTTTCCTCTGATCGCTGGGTCTCGGTGCCTTGTCTGCTGTCTTGTCTGCCAGAGCACTCACCACCTACACATTTTTATAAAAATTCACCCCAAAAGAAATCGATAACAGGGATCTTAACATGCCTTAAAAAATGATAAACAGCAGACTGTGATATTTGCTTTTAGTTACTCCTGGCAAGCAGAAATGAATGTCTTTCCCCAGCTTCCTTAGGAAGTGTCTCCTGCGGTCTCCCACAGGGGCAGGAGCTGACACGGCAATCACAGGTGTGAGCTCCACTGGCTTCACCTTCCTCCACGTGCTGTCATAATGGGAAAATTAATTCAGGCCTCTTGAAAACCCTGTGGGATCTGCCTTTTCATATCCAGGAACCCCTGGGGTTTTTCTGATTGCTGCTTGATAGTGCTAACCTATTCTTTGTGTTTTTTAAGTGTTTGCATACTACATCACTCTCCTCAGTGGAAGCCGTGCAGTCTGCACAGCCATACCATACTGTCACATGTCTGAGAACTTTATGTTGTGATGACAGGGCATAAATAGCCTCATAGTACTTCCAGACCATTCTAAATGAAAAAGGTTAATGACATGTCATTCTTATAGGAGTAAGTCAATGGAAATGATTAGCATGCTTTGATATATATATGTAATAGCTGAGACTGATGCCTCGTAAAATCCTAATTTTCCTGTCTTAGTGAAAAGAAAACTGTTTCTTCACTGTAGAGGCAACTGCCACAGTCTACATGGCAGAATTTAAAGCTGAGGATGTAGTTAAAATCTTACGCAAAAAATTAGATATTTACAAAGAGGAAACTAAAACATTTTCAAGTGAGGTCGCACATTTTAGGAATAATAAAGTCAGTTAACAGACCTGATTTGTCAGTAAGTTAATCAGGCTTCAGTCTGTGTACACCATGCAGAAGGGGGCTTATGTTTCAGTAGCAGGAAGCAAAAGAAGGGACAAGGCAGACCAGTTTGATGAGCAATGGGTCATTTTCCATACCTAGGACAGAGTGTACACCATTTATCTTTGGAGAGACCATCAAGAATGGTTTCCCCATAAAGATAATGTCCTTTGAAAAAGGTGGTTCTGCCTCAAAGCAGCAAGAGAAAGCTAGTGGTCTCCCAAATGGTTATCTCATTTGGTTGCATGCGAGCTCAGTTCTCCGTATCAAAGGTCCTAAGTTAACGTGCTGCTCTAACCAGCATCAACAGCCAATGCAGTATTTTTACAACTAAAAAGCGAAAGGGCAAGGAGCAGGGGAGGAAGCTGACATGTTAAGAGTGGGTTTCCTCGTAGTTATCACATTTAATTCTTACTGTAAGAGAAAGTGGTAACTTGCCCAAGGTCACATGGCTAGAAGATGGCAGAGCAGAAATTAGAGCTCAGATCTCGCCAAGGCCGTCACACACCTTCCTAGAAATGTTAACAGTTCAGCTCAGTGTTTATGGAGCACCTGTCATGTTCTGGCACCGTAGGCACTGGGTGTAACTGGGAATGAGATAGTGGATTGATCACAGACAGGGACATTTTAGGAAAACCTCCCATAACAATATGTTTTTTTAAATATGTGTGTGTGTGTGTGTTTGTACTTCTCTAACATCCCCTTCTCAGAATTCATTTCTTTTAGGAAACCTTCCCAGCTGGAGCCCGCTGGTTGCGACTGTTACCTCCCGTAGCACTTGCTCACATGTTTCCGCTGCGTGGCTTCAGATGAGCTTGTTAGTTATGTCCATGGTGCTCTCCTGGCTCTGCCATGCAGCTCATCCTGCTTGTTCTTCCTTGGTGCTTCCCCTGCAGGGCTCTGCACAGTGGGCTCCTTAATTCAGTAGACCCTTGGCGTTTGCTAGAATGGTGTTTGGTCTCAGTTAATCACAAAACTTTGGCACGTCACAATTTAGTTTTCCTGGGTTGTGAATTGTAAGTCACCAAGATGCTGTAAAGACTGGATCTTATCACAAAGCTGGTGAGTGGGCGTAGCCAACACCCTGGCGTCTCAGTTTCACTTGAGTACACTTGAAGCATTTTTACATATTAAGTAATTCTGGAGAGTTGGCTAGAATTTAGTTGCTTCTTTGAAAAAAGACTTGAAGTAAGAGAAAAAAACCTTAGTTAATATTGATAAAGTAGTAGTTGATAGTGCGGGATATGCATATGACTCTTATGGAAGACCAGTTATAAATGAGACAGGAAAATTCCTGAATTCCAGATGTGAAAGTTTTAGGATGCTCATCTCCAAGTCTATGAGAATGTTAAAGATACACCATGTGCTTTTCTTATTGACTCCTCCGTCTCAAATGGGGCCTGTCTTCACATTGAAAAGCCTGGGTTAGTCCACTGGTGCTTCACCAGGGCTGCACAGCAGAGTCGCTGGGGGGCTTTTTGAAAATACAGTGATGGAGCCCTCTCTAGACCTGTTGACAGGACTTCCAGGAGTGAGGTTAGAATGTGTCTGTTTTGAAAAAGTACATGAGAGAATTCTGATGACTGTAACCCCGATTTAGAGAGAGAATTCCATGGAGAAAGCCACCTGTTGGAAAGGTGTGTGTCCAGTCCCTCTGTGGCCAGACGTGCTGTGCACACACTCCTGGACAGTGAGGCTGTGTTGACAGACCAGTGGCTCCCAGGCACTGCTCAGTGCTCCAACAAAGCAGTGTCACCGAGTGACTCCTCCGTGGCTCCAGGATTCATTTCGTCAATTATTGGGTCCTTGTTCCTCTCCTCCTTTTGTCTGTGCTTGAGGATTTTGTTATTCTTTAACACCTCGAAAGAGAAAATAAATACATTCAAATCAGCTGAATTTTTATTTACCTGAGTTCTTTGTTTAAAAAAAAGCAGAGATAAGAGAATAAAGGTCATCTGTGATTAAAAAATGAAATTAGGGGCCAGCCCGGTGGCCTAGCAGTTGAGTGCACGTGCTCCGCTTCGGCGGCCCAGGGTTCACTGGTTCGGATGCCAGGTGTGGACATGGCACCGCTTATCAAGCCATGCTGTGGCAGGCGTCCCACATATAAAGTAGAGGAAGATGGGCACGGATGTTAGCTCAGGGCCAGGCTTCCTCAACAAAAAGAGGAGGACTGGCAGCAGATGTTAGCTCAGGGCTAATCTTCCTCAAAAAAAAAAATAAATAAATGTAAAACACAGACATGATAATTTTTGTTGTTGTGTTGCATACCGACTAAAGGAGAAGAATCAGCTCCTTTCTTCTGAGACAGAGTACCTTTCTATCTTTTCGCGCTTTTTTTTTGAAATTTTTTTTTTAAGATTTTATTTTGTTTTTTTTCCTTTTTCTCCCCAAAGCCCCCCAGTACATAGTTGTATATTCTTCATTGTGGGTCCTTCTAGTTGTGGCATGTGGGACGCTGCCTCAGCGTGGTTTGATGAGCAGTGCCATGTCCACGCCCAGTATTCGAACCAACGAAACACTGGGCCGCCTGCAGCGGAGTGCGCGAACTTAACCACTGGGCCACGGGGCCAGCCCCTATCTTTTCGCTTTTTTACTGACATCCCAGGGACTAGGATGGGCTCCCCCTCCCACGCTCCTCACCCCTCCGCTTTCACTGGAGGTCAGGGAGAAAGCCGGGAGCTGTCCTGAGTTTAGTACTGGTAACTGCAGTGTTCACTCAGGGCAGGGCTGGGGGTTTGTGAGCTGCAGGACGTTGACGGAACAGGTGCTGAGCCCCGGGGAGGCTGAATGTCGCAGGAGGTCAGTCACTCCTACCACACAAGCACAGCTTACGGGTTTCAGGGGTCAGGGCACAGTTTCTGATGGGTTTATGTCCTGCTGACTTGGGGTTAACGAGGTGTTCTCCCCAAAGCCTGCAGTCTGGTGAGTCGGGTCCAGAGAGCGCGAGCTGGGGCTGAGGGGCCTTTGTGCCGTCCAGCTGAATCACACCTGTGCCTCCAACTGTGAAGTTGAGACATCTGGTTTAAAAAGTGCATTTACAAATGGAAATAAGAAGTATCAGTCCCTTGCTAACACTGGTTTTGTTTTTGTTTTGTCTCTTCCTTTCTCTAGCATGAAAGACTTTCTAGGTAAGAACCTTCCCATTTTATATGCATGCTTAGTTAATACTTGTCAGTGGATGCATGTCTCATTAAACTTAGCTTTATATGCTTTAGTAGTATTTCTCACACCCTGTCCGTCCTTATTATTTCCACAGCCACCAGACCTCCTCCCTCCGGTCCATTCTGTATGCTTCCACTGCGTTGCTTTTCCTAAAGCACCAGTGTGCCAGATGCTGCCAGGTGCTAGGGCAGCAGCATGAGTAAGAGGCTGCCCTCACCTTCACTTAGCTTACAGATGACTGCACAGACAGATCGCTTCAGTAGGGTGTAGTCAGTGCGCACGTGAAAGTGGGCGTAGGCACGTGAGCAGAGAGAAGAGGCAGTTAACCTAAGCTGGTGGTTCGGGAGAGACTTCATTGCTGACTAGATGCCTGAACTGAGCCTGAGTTTAGATGCTATCATTTCATAGTGGATCCAACACAATTCCTTGTACCAGATGGTGCTCGTAATAATATTCAATGAACTAAAGACCTGTTTTGCAATTGCTGAAAAATTAAACATATCAGAGTTTGCAGCATGATCATCTGTAACTTTTCACCTAGTATCTAAGGGGACAAAACTGATCTTTCTGAAGAGTAAAATTAATACTAGAGACTGTGGAGCCAAAAGTTTGAATCACTTGTCTTCCACTGTTCCTCTGATGGAGAAATTAAGAAGAGATTGGGAAAGATAGAGTCAGTGGGATGGCATAGCACAAATGAGTCTCATACTTGGTTTGATAATTGAGCTGGTTCTACCTTATTAATATATTTCAAGGTACACAAGCTTGCATGTATTCTTCCTCTGCTTACTCCCCTGCCAGGCACCAGCTGAGGATAAATAATTTATATCGAACCTAGCGGAAAATTAGTTTTACAAAATTGTTAGAGAGTGGTATTTTTCTATAGTTAACTTTTTGTGAACTCAGTTACATTATAATGGCCATTTATGAAAAGAGACTTGCCTACAGACCTCAAAATATTCTATAAAACTTTAGTGATTAAAGCAGTGAGGTACTGAGCCAGCCCTGGTGGCCTGGTGGTTAGAGTTCCACGTCCTCCACTTTGGCGGCCCGAGTTCGTTTCCCGGGCACGGAACCACACCACCCGTCCGTGAGGAGCCATGCTGTGGCCTGGTGGTTAGAGTTCCACGTCCTCCACCTTGGCGGCCCGAGTTCGTTTCCCGGGCACGGAACCACACCACCCGTCCGTGAGGAGCCATGCTGTGGCCTGGTGGTTAGAGTTCCACGTCCTCCACCTTGGCGGTCCGAGTTCGTTTCCCGGGCACGGAACCACACCACCCGTCCGTGAGGAGCCATGCTGTGGCCTGGTGGTTAGAGTTCCACGTCCTCCACCTTGGCGGCCCGAGTTCGTTTCCCGGGCACGGAACCACACCACCCGTCCGTGAGGAGCCATGCTGTGGCCTGGTGGTTAGAGTTCCACGTCCTCCACTTTGGCGGCCCGAGTTCGTTTCCGGGCACGGAACCACACCACCCGTCCGTGAGGAGCCATGCTGTGGCCTGGTGGTTAGAGTTCGTTTCCTGGGCACGGAACCACACCACCCGTCCGTGAGGAGCCATGATGTGGCCTGGTGGTTAGAGTTCCACGTCCTCCACTTTGGAACCACACCACCCGTCCGTGAGGAGCCATGCTGTGCTGGCGGCTCACATAGACTAGAAGGGCCTTCAGCTGGAGTATACAGCTAGGTACTGGGGCCATGGATTCGGGGAAGGAAAAAGGAGAGGGAAAGATTAGCAACAGACGTTAGCTGGGGGCGGATCTTTCCCAGAAAAAAAAAGCAGTGAAGTACTAGCTCAAAAAAGAGAACGATGGAACACAGTAGGTAGCCCCAAAAAAGTCCTGTGTACAAGGTGACGTTTCCACTTAATAAAGAGTTCTTCAGCGAGTGATTGTTGGGATGGTTCACCCCACTTGGGGAAATGGACCTTTCCCTCCAGCCACACCAACAAAACCAAAAACCCAGACTTCAGAGGGATGACAGCTGAGAATGTTCATAATCCTCATAGAAAGACCTTCCCACACATGCTGTCATAAAGGCAACAATCAGCGGTTATAACTATATCAAATTTAAAATCCTGTCTAGTAAAAGACACCATAAACAGAGATAAAAAGTTAAGTGGGAAAAAATATTTGCAACCAACATTAGTTTTAAAAGCCCTGCTATATAGGATACTCCCACAATGCAACAAGAAAAAGATGAACAAAGGCTGTGAGTAGGCAATTCAGAAACAAAGAGAGATAAATAACCAGACATGTTAACCCTCCCTAGTGATTAAAAATAGTAAAAGTAACGACAATGAGGTATTTGTCCTGTTGCATTGGAAAGGATTAACACTCTCTGGAGGGCAGTATGGCAATATGTGTTTCAGCACTGAAAATGTGTTTATCCCTTGACCAAGCAGTTCCACTTCTAAGATTTTATCCTAAGAAAATAATTGGACGAATGCACTGAGATTTATAGACAAGTCTTGTCACTGTAGCCTTATTTATAGTAGCTAAAAATTTCAAGACAATCTGAGGGTCTGTCAGTGGAGGATTAAATTATCTCACAGCCATACAGCTGAAGACCATGTAGTCGTTTAAAGAAAAATGAGGCAGATCTACTTGTCCTAACCTGGTGAGATGCCCACACCCTTGTGACCAGTGTAGGGAGGGGGAGGAGGAAGAGTTAGACAGTAGTCTGTGGATCTAATGTTATTTATAGAAACGTGTAGAGTGTTACCATATTTACACGTCAGCATCCTGCGAGGATGTGACCTGAACGGTTCACAATGCTGCTTTCTTGGGCAGGATTGTGGGGTGACTTGCACTTCCTATTTTAGTGCTACTTAAATTTAGTGGTGCTTAAATTTTTCTACAAGCATCGTATTGCTTGTAGGAAAGTCAGTAACAAGATTTCTAGTTACAAAATTAAAGAAAAAAAGAAGTACAAGAAGAAAAGGAACACTGTAGAAATGTAGTAGGATTGGCATCTCTCTAAGGAAGAGTGGCACCGATGTCACTAGGGACCATGCCTCTGCCTCCCTGTGTCAGCCTCTCCGCCTCTCCCCTCTTCTAGTGCTTACTTCAGTTCCCACCCCCACCTCTGGCACTGGCTGCCACAGGCCAGAGGTGAGAGACAGAGTTCCACAGCTGTGGGAAAGGGCTGCGGGACGGGGTGGTACATAGCAGCCTCATGTGCCACATTCTAGTTTGGAAAAAGCAAAATCCCAAAAAAATATGAACCAGTGTTAAGGACCAGGATGACAGCTGTCCACTTACACCAATGAACTCACCAATACTGGAAATAGAACCACCGTCAAGTCTGAGACTCCATTGCTAGAAGATGCAGCAGTCCTAATTACAGTCTTGATGTGGAGCAGAGATGGAGGCTAGGAAACTGGCTGTTGGGCTCGGTGGCGGTGCCCCTGAGGTGTACCATGCCCTGTTGCCATTCCTGCCCCACTCAGCCTCCAGCTCGGAACTCCAAGTCCATATGTTTCTGATTCCTTGACAGTTCACTGGAATCATTTTCTAAGAGCCATTGAAATCCAAGAAACTTCTGCTTTCAAAAGCACACTCTTGAGGGAAGACATTCAACCCTAAACTAACTTGAAAAGCTCTAAGATTTAAGTCAGCACATGGATCCAAACCACCAGTTTTTCAAATAAGCTTCATTCTTGGCACATGGCAGCCTCCTGCTCAAGGCTGGCGCAGCAGGCCCTGAGGTCCCAGAGGCTGGCTGAGGGAGCCTCGAGAAAGGAATGTGCGCTGTTCTGGGCAGAGCTCTCGAGTGCTTCTTAGAAAGGATCAGACGACCTTGGGTAGTGCCTTCCCCCACTTCCTTGCTCTCAAAGCCAGTTTCTGCCTTTAATTGTCTCCCACAGGTTGGAGTCAGGAGGTAGCAACCCTACGCCCAGTGATTCTTACGGCGACCGGGCCTCAGCGAGAGCCCGCCGGGAGGCCCGGGAGGCCCGTCTGGCCAGCCTGACCAGCCGTGTGGAAGAGGACAGCAACAGGGACTACAAAAAAGTGGGGTCTTTTTTCAGTTTTCCTGTTCTTGGGTTCCAGCACGTAAACCTCTTCGCCTTTTCCCCTGTGTGGAAACATGGGCATAGTTCTGATGAAGCAGAAGAAAAGGCACTTGTGTGACACTAGTGACAACCAGCTCCTTTCAGGCTTCTTGGTTTGCTCCACTCTCTACCAGCTAAATAAAGACCTCTTCCTGTTTTGTTTTTAGTGCAGTAAGTATAAGCCTGGAATCAGATATTTAGAGGTATAGGAAAAGATAAGGATTAAGAATTGCAAAAAGGGAAATGAGAGCACTGCTGTTTGTCTGTACCCCGGAGAATGGTTTGGAAGACTGATCTTTCTGACGAGCACGTGTTTCAGTGAGACCCTGTGCTGTCGACCAGATACTCTTGGTGACAGTAAATCATCCTCATCGTCATCGTCTGCTTGGGAGGGGCTTGAAGTCACTTCACAGTTCATTTCCTTTGGTTCTTGCAGAAGAGTACCTGGCTTCAGGGGCAGACCTGAAAACCTTTCCTTTCAAGTGCCTGAGATGCCAGGAAAAAGCGTTTTTGTTAAGTAGAACTTGACTAAAATCAATAGGCACACTAGGCTGGCTCTAAAAAAATAGTTCTTTTTTGTATGGGAAACTGCATTTTTAAGCAATGCAAATACGACATAGGAGAAAATGGAACGACCCTTTTTTCCCCCAGAGATAGCACCGTTGAAGTTAGAGCATCCTTCTTTGTGTTCAGCACTGGGACCTCACTGGTTTAAGAAGCAGGAGGCCAGTCGGCTGCATGTTTTCTGTCTCCTGGATGTCTCCTTTTTTTGCCTAGACTCTTCCGTTCTCTCCATGTGCCCCACAGTGGGGGTTTGGGACGGAGGGCCCTGGGCGTTCTCACATGATGAAACTGTGTGAGTCTGGAATTCTGGGAGCCCTGCGAGTAGGTGACCTGCTTCTCTCTGTCGCCTCCCCCAGCTCTACGAGAGTGCCCTGACCGAAAACCAGAAGCTGAAAACCAAACTTCAGGAGGCCCAGCTGGAGCTCGCAGACATAAAGTCCAAGCTCGAGAAGATGGCCCAGGTGAGGGGGGGAAGGCAGAGGAGGGGCAGGGGACAGTGCGGGGCAGACTGACTGGGGGCCTGAGAGGTGGGGCGAGAGACGGAGTCAAGACCGGCCCTCAGAGCAGGGAGAGGGAAGCTTCCTGGACTCTAACTCGATGTCAGGGTTCCGTCAGCATTTAACTTAAGATCAAAACTTGATAGTTGAGTGAACAGTTCCTGGTGGCCCGAGTGCCCACCTTTAATGTGGATTATCTACATATTTCTGAGTAGGAAGGCAAACCAGTGCTCTACGCTGAGTCCTAGGCAGCATCTCCTGTCTTATTCATTGTGATTCACGTCACCTCCCAGAGAGGGATACACACGACGTTGTTAAACCTAGTGCAGAGACGTAGCAAATTTGCCCTTGAAAAATAAGTGGTTTGCTGAGGTTGTAGGATAAATCAAAGAAGAAGGTCTTGTTAGAACGTGGGATTAAGTCCCAAAGCAAAGATTCCGTCCTGTGACCTGTTACCTCCCCAAGCCGCCATTGCCTTTCAACCTGGGAATAAAGAACGTTAGTGGCAGGAAGACCATGTAAACCATTTCCTCTTGCCTCCAGGCCTGATTTAATTAGGTGACACTGCAGAGGGTCCTAGAGGTCATAACCCCGTCACAGTGAAACACACCCTGCAGCTAAAAGCCAAAGCAAGTGCTGTCTTAGGTTATCGCTAAGCTAACAGGAAACCCGTGGAGTTGTTGCCCTCCTGGAATGCCTGGGGACTAAGACTTTTGAAAGCTGATCTAAGGTAAAAATGACTCTTTCCTAGGAAGGCATAAATGAAAACCAGGGATAGCTCGTTGTTCTGGCCATATGCTATAATGCAAAAGGGAAGACTGAACAGCTAGGATCATACAGTACTGAGTCCACGGGTGTGGGGGGCAGGCGTGGTTAAGTACCCTCTCCACAACTTGTGTCAGCCCCTCTGGAATGGGATGAGCAGGGGCGCCAACACTAGGAGGACAGCACCACAGGGCTGCACGGGGGCCAGCAGGACACCTGCACTTCCTGCAGAGCGGAGGCCTATCCTGCGAGCTGCCCGTCCGCGGCAGAGGCAGCCCTTCTGCTTGGTCAGAATTGCTGGACATGGCCCTGTACTCGGGACTTCTGAGACCTACCACAGCTTAGATGACAGCTGGGCCTGAGTGATTCAGTGGAACAAGGAATGTGGGTCTCTCCATCTAAAAAGAAAACTCACACACTCATGGCCGTAAGGCAGGGGGATGGACTAAATAAACTTCAGGGGCTCTTTTGACATTAAATTACTGAGCCAGGCAAATGTCTTATTCACCCTCAAGAGATGTGTGAGGCCACGAGTGGGCAGTGGTTAAGAGATGGATCTTAGCCTGGTTCTCGTCGAGTGTTGCTGGGGCTGTCTCAGCGCTGTAGGCAGCAGTCAGGTGAGGAACCAGGGAGGACCCGTCTCGCCTGCTGCCCACTCTGTCCTCAGCAGGGGCTCCTGACAGCGCAGCTCCTGACCTTCAGGGTTCTCGGCTTTTCTGCCAGCCCATGCTTCAGAGCAGTGAGCAGCCTAACAAGCTGCTGCACTGACTTGCACACAGGCCTTGCAGATAAGATCAGCTCTTCTAGTCGCTGGGAAAAGCGCTTACTTTCCAGCCAACTGCTTTGCTGGGTATGTCAGAATATACTTAATTTTGCCAAATACAAGTAATTGAAATTCAGAAGAAATAGCGGTGCTACAAACCAAGTCTCTACTATTTACCAAAAATGGAGTTCATGTTTGGCAGGACAGTGGAGGGAGGAGGGCCTGTCAGCCTTACACATTTGTGTGGAGACAGTTACCACATGGACACACATGGTGTTTTCACGTGGAAGTTCGCCCAAGCTCCACGGGGGTTAGGCTTTTAAAAAACCTGTCCTAGTTCTTTGCAGACGTGAACTGAGGACCGTGAAACATGGTGGCCTCTCTGCCTCCAGCCCAGGTTGCAGACACGCCGCAGGGCAGCGTCTCCCTCTTTTCTTTCCTTCTGCTGCCCAGGAGATGCTGGGAAGGCAGGTGGCCATGACCTTCAGAACAGGGGTGAAAGCGCAGGGCAGGAGCCAGAAATCTGAGTTTTACTGTTAGTTCTAGCGATTCCATAGTTTTTTGGGGAAAAACCCTGCAAGAAGACCAGCATAGTTTTTGTATTTACTGAATGTTGTCTGTGAGTGGTACTAGGGAAAATAAAAACAATCACCCTGTACTTATTAACTGTCTGTTGAATGTGAGAAACTGTCAGTTCTGTAATGCCAAGGCCGAGAGGAACTTGAGGGTCATTTCCATTCCCTGTTAAGAGTCCTTCCCTGAAGTTAGTCTACTTTTTAGCTCTTAGTGGCTAAGTCTTTTTAGCCCCTCTGCAAAATTTATATTGACAGCCAAAGATGATCTAAAATAAAGTTATAACCTTCTATTCAAATCTTACCTTATCTAGAGGCCTAATATATAAAACAGATAAAAGTGGAATGTTCTGTTCAAAGCGTGGCAGATCCCATGAATGGGCTCCAGAGAACCCTGGAAGCCCACGCACCTGCGGAAGCCACCGTCGTCAAAGAAAGGCAGCCTCAGTTCCCAAAACAGAAGGAGCCGAGTGGAAAGACTGCGTAGGAGTGCCGTGGGGAGACACTCAAGCTCATGAGTCTCCAGCCTTTTCGAGAAGAAAAGCCCCTTTCCATTTCCTCGGGGATGGGTGCAAGGTGCCCTGAAGAGCTCGCGAGTGTGTGTGTGTGTGCTGTGGGGTCGTCTTTGTACTGTGACGGTTGTGAGTCTCGGGCAGCACCGTGGCTGCCTCCCCTCCCTGGGGGAGTCCCAAGGCTCCAAAGAGGCTGCGATGTTAGGCTTAGAGATCTGTCAGCATCTATTTGCCAGGCACCCTGCTCTGGGGAAAGCGCGGAGCCCTGACGTCTGGTTCTGGATGTCCAGTGGTGAAGCTGGCCCGGACTGGGCTTCCTGCTAGCCTGAGACAACTTAAGTGACAACTGTTTTCCTCCCCTGTGCACCAGCAGAAACAGGAGAAGACCTCTGACCGATCGTCAATGCTGGAGGTGGAGAAACGGGTATGTGTGTCTCTCTTTCCTCTGTTTCATCTCTTCTTTCTGAGTTTTTCTAACTTTGTTGTTCATGCCAACGGAAAAAGTTTGTCTTAGGAAGGCGGGAGCTCTGCCACATTCCATTGCCGGCTCGATAATAAATTCTTTCTGTCTGACTCTGGACAGCAGTGTGATTGCTGCTCCTCTGGCTTCCTCAGACAGACAGTACTGTCCACATCTTCCAGCCTTGGGTGGGAGGAGTCCTTGGAAGGCCATCTCGTAGGTGGTTCTGCTCTGGGCAGAGCTGCACGCACATGCGCACGCGCACCCCCTCCCTCCCTCTCCCCTCCCTCCCTCCCTCTCCCCCTCCCTCTCCCTCTTTCTCTCTCCCTCTCTGCGCCCCCCCCCCCCCCCCCCCCCCCGCCCCGAGGTCCACAGTCTCCACCCTTCCCATCACCTTGAACAGAAAGGCAGCTTTCAGCAGGACCCTCTGCCGTGGATTTAGGTTGAAGACTTGAAATATGAGCCAGCAGAACCTTTCGCTCACTCTGACTGGGGGGAGGGTTTCTGGTTCAATAGTGACCTCTTCCCGACGACGGCATTCAGAATATGTTTCTGGGATGTGACATCCGTGGATTGGGAAAACTCAGATTTATTGAGGAACCCTAGCTTTGACTTGACCCTCAGGGTATAATATTTTCCCGTCTCTCTTGTTTAATTTGGAAGGCAGCTAAGTTTTGCATTTTATTCCCTTGGCCTGTGACAAAGCCTCCTTGGCATCTCATCTGATGAGAGAAGCTTCCTTGGGTTCAGGCTAATCAGGCGTCAGTTGCTGCGAGAGCACGATGGACGAGGAGGAGGGGAGCTGTTTCTTCGTTAGGTGATGGCGTCTGCTTCCCTGCTCGCCATCTGCTCCCCATCAGGAGGGAAGCCCTTCCCTAGGAATCTGGGGGAGCATTACTGAAGACATGAAGTCTTTTTGTTAAGAGAGAGCAAGGTCATCTGAAATTCCACGAACTCGTCAGCCTCCACAGAATGGCTCAGAGTGCCCTGGTCGCAATCTGTTTGCATATCAGCAAGTTGCTTCCACAGATACACTCTAAGAGTCTGACAGGAGATGCAGGCATGGCAGTGTGACTTTATCAGTGATGCCCTTCCAGCCCTCAGGGGCAGGATCAGATGATGCTGGAATCTCCCAGAAGGTCTGCCTGAGTCAGGAGCTGCTGAGCTCATGGCAGGTGGGGGGGCAGCCTTTGGACTCCCTTCTAAATCCATTTATATGGTCAACGGTCCCATTGTTTTTAAACAGGAGAGGCGAGCCTTGGAGCGGAAAATGTCAGAGATGGAGGAAGAGATGAAGGTATGGAGAGATCTCCTTTCTTTCTGTGCCTGTCCTCCGAATGCCCGTCGGAACTGGGCTGCCCATAGGCCCCCTCCAAATTTCCCTACACATGCAGCCCCTCAAGAAGAGATGTACGAAGGGAGGGGCAAGCGCCTCTCCTCAGCCCTTTCAGAGCTCTCTGATCGCACAGCATCCACTGTGGCCCCTCACAGCCCTTCCAGGAGCAAGTGCCACCTTTGGTTTAAGCAGAGTTCTGGAGACAAACCTGGGTTGAACTTTTAAGGTTTTCCAAGCAGTGGCTTCACCCTCAAGGGGCTGGTGAAAAGGTGAAGCAAGGTTTCCTGCTCCTCAGCCTCCCATGAGGTCCTGGGGAAGCCTGAGCATGGCCAGAGGCTTCCTTCCCTGGGCTCCACATCTCAGCCCCTTGCTGGAGGGAACACGGTCTGAGTCGTTCTGTAGCAGAATGAAAAGTCTGCACGTGATGAGTCCTACCCCAGGCCCTGTCCCCGAAACCTTCAGTCGTGGTTGGCGCTCTCATGCCACCATTACCACATGGCTCACTGCTTTCCCCTCTCCCCTCACCATGGCCTGCAGTGACTGTCACCTCCATTAGCCACGTCAGGGGACAGCAGCCATCCTGGGCAGTCTCAGTGCTAACAGCTGACAGTCTCCCCACAGGGGTGAAGTCACTGCATGGGGTGGGAGCCGGAGCTGCAGGGCTGTCGAGCTGCTCAGAGCCACCTGGAAGGATTGGAGCGTCTGGGCCTACAGGGCGTGTTGCACGTGCCCACAGTCGCTCAGCACGTGCTCAGCTTTTTCTCTGTCTTCAAGGCTCTTATTACACCAGATGCGAGATGCAGAGTGTTCGCCTGGTGAAACAGGCTTCTCTTCCTGGGAACCAGCAACGCTGGGGTGGCATGAGGCAGACCCCAGATCTCTCTCTGGGCACGTGTCCCTAACATGCTGCCAGAGCACCTGGAGGAAGATGCTTACTGTTACAGTAACCTAAAAAGGTTATTATTTACTGAAAACACTTTTCAGGACCTGACATGGTCAGAGTTTATGTGAGATCCAGTGTCTGTGATCCTGTTACTCTTTATAATTCCAGAATCGAGGGGAAATGCCAGGCCCTGCCCTTGCATTCCACAGTCACGTCCCAAGGCGGTAACTGATCACATGCACATAGCAGTTGAAGCAATACCTGCTCATCTCCAACAGTGACACTTTATATCCTTCAAGTTAATTCAGAACAGCAAGAAGCAGGAATAATAAATGATTGATTCTCCTGAGATGATAAAAATAGTATGATCCAACCTATTAGCTCCTCCACCTTCCAATTTTTCCAACCCAGCTCGCCTGCCACACAGCAGCATTCTCTCCCATTTAGAGCAGTGTGTTCACAGAGCTGAGCAGTTCTTGGTGAATGAATACGCACAGCTCTTGGGTGCACTGGGGGCCGCTCTGTCTTTGAAAACCCCCAAGTTATTCCATCTGTACTCTGCTTTAGGCAGCTGTCAGTGATGCTCGTGAAAAAATGGCCTAAATGCTGATCAGGGGCATGTAATGAGGCCAAAGCTGGTGTCTTCTAACAAGTACCCAGGAACCCAAAGCCAGCATGTGCCCACCACATGGAACTCTGTCACATCCACTCAGGTCCTCACACAAAGACCCAGAGAGTCCAAAAGTGGAGCAATTTGGGTCCTTCCTTATTTCTGTTCGAATTCTAAATTGGCGAGCATGGGAGCCCCACAGTCCTGTGGCCGAGACAGGCCCTCGCATCTCTCATCTCATCCTCCTGTCGGGCTGCAATTTCCTGAACTAGGTCATGAGTTCTTTTGTTTCCTCAGGAGAGATTGTAATACATGAAGTCTTTGCTTTCTTCAGCCAACTTCAAATTCAGTTATTCAGATTAACAAGTGGAGCCAGAGCATGACTGTTTAGGCCCCAAATCAATAGTTACACTGATGTGAGACTGATTTTTTTTAGTTAAAAAATCCACCCATTCAGTCCGTTGCCGTTATTCTCCATCACCAATCACAAAGCCAGATGGAGAAGAAACACCTGCCGGCTGTGAAGCCCCCAAAGGCCCTTCGCTCAAATCAAGCTGACAGCAGCTCCCCAAGAACCAGGGGAGGCGCTCGCAGCCTCCCAGTCGACACCGAGTTATGGTGGGTGTGTCTGCACCTTCTCTGGGGGCAACAACTTCAGATACATAGGTACAGACATCGTCGAGTTAGCGGGACTAGCCTATTAAAGGCGTCTAAGAAAGTGCTTGGTTAGCTTCCAAACTCTCCTTCCAGTGTGACCAGTGTCTCTGGAGTGACCACTGGCCAAAATCTCTGTGTCCAGGGAGCCAGCCAACAGAGCACATACCTGTCTTGTCAGATCTGGGACCCAGTAGAGCTGAGGGCCAGTTGGTCCCCATGCTCACTGCATATGTGGCTTACACAGATGCTCAGACCTTCTTCAAGCCATCGGCAGGGCACAGGTTGAGGGCTGACCTCCGGCGAGCCCTGACCTGCAGTAGGTGCTCGAAGACAGAAAGTGGCTCCAGTGCCTGCTTTCTGACTCTGGGCAAATAATGTGTGAAGGTCGGGTTTGATGGGGAACCGTGGGGGCTCACCAGGTGTCTGTGGGCTCTGCGGTTGTGACAGGCTGTGCATGCTGGCTTTCACCTGGAAAGGTGAGTATTTATGAGTTCTCCCCAGGAGAAACTCTACTCAGGTCCTGGCCTGGAGTAGGATTACATGCCAGCTCCGACAAGTGTGCATGTCGGCGTGCGCTGTGCTGGGCCTGCACCTGCCCTTGGGGTGTGCCCACATGAGACCTGATTCCTTTTCTCCTGCATCCTCCATGCAGCTTCAGCCTCCTTTCCAGGCCGCTCCTCTTCCTTTCCCAGGTCCTTGCATGAGGGGCCGAGCAGCCAGTCCGCTTTCACACTGGTCGTGGAGTTTTTATTTTACTTACTGTGGACACATCTCGGGCTGATCCCGCCCCTAAGCCTGCCCTTGCCCACCTGCTCTGTGCCCTGGTCTCCATCTCCGTGCCATGCCTTGTTTTCAGGACTGCTTCCTACAGAACATTCCACCAGACTGTTTCCTGCCTCTCTCCCTCATGCTGATAACGTCCCAACTCTTGCACGTCAGTCTGCTTGTACTCACATGTTAGACTGTGCCGTCTTTGTAGCTCAGGGCTTTAGTGTTACTCCCTAGGAGGCGAGGGCCACTTCAGGCGATGACAGTGGCTGTGTGGAACACAGAAGAAGGCTGAGGGCCAGGGACCTTCCATTGGTTCTTAATTTGGTCCCCACCCATCTCTAAAGGTTTCCCTGTGCTGCCCCGTGGTCTCCCTCCCGTCCCCCCGGGGCCACACTGCTGCAGTGGGGGAGGGCCGCCTGGGACTGTGGCTGCTAGCTTTTCTCCAAGTGGGCCTTCTCCCTTTAGGGGAAAGAGAGATTCGGCACTTTGTCTCTGCTTGTTTTTCCTTTTCACTGTCTTCCCTCATTTTCCCCTCATCCCTTTCATTTTCTTGCTCCTTCACTCCCCAACAACTAAAACTTCCCTGATCTTTCATTTCCCTCCTCCTCCATGTGTGTACGAGAGACTTTTCTCTGGTTCCTGCGACCTTTCTGTGGCCACTGTTACCCACAGGATCGTCTGTCTTCATCTGAAGCCCCATTCACATAACAAAATTGCTTCCTCCTCCCAGAGAGCTGGTGGGCTCAGTTCCAGGGTCAGTGCAGATGACACTTAGGAAAGACAAGTCACAGCAGGCAGGCCTGTGATACAGTTCCATTTGTCGATGTCTTTATGGGACCCTTTATGAGACATGAGGTATTAGGAGAATATCTGTGGGCCAACAAATAATTAGACCTGGACTCGTCCATCAGTCTAGCCAGGTCCATTGCTGGACATTTATGATTTCTCCAGCTCTCATGCACAGCCCCGATTTCCAGAGTGTGAGTCTGCACACCTCTCAGCAGCTCCCAGCCTCTTCATGAGCTGGGGTAAAGAGCACAGTTGCTGTGAATCCCGTGGTGCAGATCATTATAGCAGGTCAGAGGCGGGTTAGCAGGTCTTGGATCCTGGAACAAGCCCCTGGACCGCAGAGGAGAACTAGCAAGTCAAGGAAGCTTCGCACGTGCAGGTTAGAGGACCGTCACGCCAGCTGCCAGCTTCTCTCTGGGCGTGCGTCCCTCCAGCCTGCTAAGCGGTGCTTGCCTCACGCAGAAAATGCTTCAACAGCAGGCCTCCTTTTATTGTCCTTGTTTTATTTTTAAAAATTAAAGGAGGTAAGAGAAGGCCCCAGAAAGAAAATAAGTGGGAGTAGGGGCCAAGTGTGGGGGAGATGAGGGGAGGGAGGCAGGAAGGGCAGCAGCGGGATTTATCCAGTCCGTGGTGAAGAAGGGTCCCTGAGGCCATGGCTCAGCCATGTCACTTCGCTTCTGAGGCCCGCAGCCGCTTGGCGGGCTGTCACGCCAGAAGCGATCATCCAGAGGAGCTTTTTGAGAGCCCTGTGGCTGTGTTCCTATGGCTGACCTTCAGCCTAGTTAGACCTTAGCCAAGGGTCATGGACGCGGCTCCCTTCCTGGCGCTTTTCTCCATCGCCTCCCCCCCGCCCCCCCCCCCACTCCTGCCTTCCTCATTCCTTCGTGCATGAGAACTAAAAACAAAACCAGAAAGTCATGTGACTTCTCTGTCCTCCTTTTATCTCCTCTGGTCTGTCTTGTCTCTCTGTCTTGTCTGTCTGTCCCCTCCATGTCTCACTCTCCACAGAACCTCCACCAGCTAAAACAGATTCAAACCTTGAAGCAGATGAACGAGCAGCTGCAGGCTGAGAACAGGGCCCTGACCCGCGTGGTGGCCCGGCTCTCGGAGCCCGTCGAGTCCTCGGGAGCCCAGGAGCTCTAGTTCCTGCCCCTCTTCTCCACCTCACTTCCCTCCTCCGCCGCTCCAGGCAGGTGCCCTCTTCTTGTTGGTCCCAGGAGCTCTGTGCGTGTTCTCTCCCCAGAGCCTCCT